AGGATAAATCATATTGGCAAATAAACAAACTCCAGTTACCCATACTACTAGGACTACTGGGTTACTTCACATTACACTAATAACACTAGTATGACATTTAATGTAATTTAGTATGTATAAATTTGGACCTATATTTTCTCTACAAGAAATTAATACTAAAGCTAAAACTATAATCTTCCCTCCATGCAAAATAAAGAAAAAATAATAATTTCCAGGACCACTGACAATGTCCTAAAAACAAGATCTACATTTACAATCAAGTTTTTTTTCGGTAAAGGTATTATTGCCAAACCCCACAAGACCATCACTTAAATCGCGCCCTTCTATTTTTGGTCACAACTTTTTTCCCGGTGTGTGATTTCTGGCAACATATCACTCATATCCTATTGGTTTCTTAAGATTGAATAACCCATTTTCATTAACTCAATATGATACACTGACAGGTAACATTTCGGTATAAATGAATGAGAATTAAATGACTATTACCAGTTTCCTCTTCCGTGTCCTACGTCAATGTAAACAACATCTGCGCTTCTTGTTTTGATCTTGTTTCGAGTAGGACTTTAAAGAGATCTTGTATGTAAAAATAATTCTTGCCTACGTTGTTTTGATAATGCATTATAAATTAAATTTTAAAATAAGTGTCACTTGACTGGTTTTTGTATTTTCAATTTTGTATGATGCATTCTAACTTCAATTTGACAAACATAAGACAGGCTTTTATTATATCATTATACTCAAAGGAGAAAAGTACAATCTCTATTGTTTCTCGTAAATTAATGTTAGAATTTAACTCTAACTTTGAAGAGACCTTATATATAAAATGTTTCATCACATAATTTGATAATATGAGCAATAGTATTTTTTTCTTATAGTATTTAATATCATCATATGCATACCAGATATATGAATGCACAAAGTGTATCTTTATAGACATGGTCCTTAACAAATATGCAGACGACAAAGCAGACAGCGAAGACCTGACGTGAAATTCGGCATCGCTCCCGTGAATATGTATTCGTATGTAATTTCAGGTAAATCATTTGTACATACAGCGGCTTATAGAAGAAAAACGCGTCTTATGCTAGTGTAACTGTTTTCTAAGCCAACAAACCCCGCTAGAAATAATCCAATGTGACCGCATATTGGATTGAGTTGAGTTGTTTTTCTAGCATTGGAAATTTCTTGTATTATGATAATATCCCATGTCTTAAAGCATTATGCAAAGACGAATTTCATCATATAGTTAAGAGTTGACCCGCCTTTCAAATAAAAATATTCCTATCATCTTTAGAACTTGGTCATTGACTATAAATATCTTACTTCAGATTTCAGCAGGTATTTTGAGTCTCAAATATGAATTAAATATTCAGTCATGTGTGTAATGTGAAAAGAAAAACAGGTATTCTGCATTTGATGTATCTACATTATAGAAACCGATTGTGACTCAAGTAAAGTCAAAGGAAACGATTAAATCAAATTATCTAAAAGAAAATGCATCATCAAAACCACGCGAGACATCGCTCTGTAAATCATTTGGAATGTACCGGGAAAATCACTAATTCAACCAAACCGAAACTGAAATAACTGATTCATAAATACAAAAGATGGTCGTAAAGTGATTCTTTGAAGAGTTTCTTGCGCGAGCCTTCAAGAGGTAGCCTACCCATGCAGCTCGTCCTCCCGGCATCCGACCGTCACTCTTTTACAGTATATCTGCTCCTCAAATAACACCAAAAGCTTATTTGCAAAATATTGGAATCTTGCTTCGCGTAAGGCAACATTGAAGACACGATATCATGTGCTGTATTTCCAGTAAAACCGTCTATGTATCAGTGTCATGAATGGGGGGCAGTTGGTGTCTTGTCCCATGCATGCTTGTGCGTACAAAGTCAGACTGTGTTGTATTTGTGGTTGTTGATGCCGATGGTGAGGGTGGCTTTTAGCTCTCTGTGTTATGTGCTTTCCAGTTAATGCAATGTGCTTGTGGTGGTGCTTGTGCTCTGCGATTAATATGGGAAGTCTATTGTATCCAAACCTGTTTTTAAGCGCGTATACCATTTCACTTTCATGGTGTGTGATGTTTTATCTGCGTCACTACGATACATGTGCTAATCCAGGTATGTTAATGTGGTCAAGTCAGATTATGTTAAGGATGTGTCATGCGAAATAAACAAACACGGCATTCTGAGTGGAAAAGCACTCATAGTGTTCTAGGACTATCTATATTTGTGCACGAATACATTTGTTGGAATTTACTTGTTAAACATCTTATTCATTCATTTACTTTGAATGGATATATTAGTCTTTAGTGGGCAGTGCACAGGAAGAAAGAAAAGTGTGATTATCAGATACATAGAACAGTACTACGCTTAGATATTTTACATGGCCAACAGATGTAACAATGTTTTACTAGTGCTGTGATAGACTTGTGCTTGGATATCATGCTAGATCGATGTCAGGCAAATCTTTCCCCAGTCTGTAATGACAGGCTTGTGCATGAATCATAGCCTCACTTGGCCAAGAAGGAAGGAAACTGCATGATTTGAATGTGTCAGACTAGACATGCAGACGCCTGACTAGGCTCCTGGTGGTCGACGAGATGTGTGTGTGTGTGTGTGTGTGTGTGTGTGTGTGTGTGTGTGTGTGTGTGTGTGTGTGTGTGCGCTGAAAATATTTTATTATCATTATTAATTCAGTTTTAATTCTAATTGCATTCGTTCGTTATTAAATCGCCTTTTGAGAGCCATGACAAAGATTCAATTGTGATTTCAAAACGTAAAGACATTTTTTTTCGTATTAAAATGTTTGAAAATGCAAACGAGATTTAGGGCGTAAGAGCAAGAATTTATAGATCACAATTAGAGTTGTAAATGAGTTGGAAAACTTTGAGAGCTTGATATAAAATTTGTTTTTTGAATCCTTTAGGTATTTGTGTGTTCGTTATCATTGCTATTTATTATTATTATTATTATTATTATTTTTATTATTATTATTATTATTATTATTATTATTGTTATTATTATTATTATTACTATTATTATTATTACTGTTGTTATGGTTATTATTATTATTGTTATCATTATTATTGTTGTTACTATTATTAGTGTTATTGTTATTATCATCATACTCATTTCTATCATCATTATTATTATTGTTATTATTATCATCATTATCGTTATCATTATCATTATTACTACCACTGTTACTGCTACTGTTGTTTTTATGATTATCATCATAATCATTATTATTGCTATCATTATTATTACTGTTGTTATCACTTTATTGCTATTATTATTTACTATTATTATTATTATCATCATCATCATCATCATTATCATTAATATTATAATTATTATTGTATTGTTAGTTTTATTACCATTATTATTGTTGTTTTATATTTTATCGTTCTTCTTCTTATTATTATTATTATTATTACTATTACTATTGTTGTTATTTATGATAATAATAATAATTACTATTATTATCGTTATTTATTATTGTTATTATTACTAGTAGTAGTATCACTGCCACCATCATTATCATCATTCATTTCATTGAATCCAAAATTAATAATAATGATAATAATAATGATAATAATAATAATTATAATAATAATAATAATAATAATAATAATAATAATAATAATAATAAGCGTGAAGGTGATTCCAACGTGCTGAATAAGGGACCAGGAAATCGAAAAAAAAAATCTTTCTTTCTTTTTTCTTTAGCAGTAAATTAAATCTCTGAATAATCCTATCATTCCGTTTCTGCTAAATATTTTGCCCTCTGATTGCTAGTTCTGTTTTCAATTTTTTTTCTTCTTCTTTTCTCCAAAGAATCTTCGATTTTATTTCTAAATCTTAAAATTACTTCCCGTAGCTTGGAGGGAGGCGTCGCTGTCTCGTTGGAGAGGAAATGAAATATTATAATAGCCATGTTATTGGTGATAATAATGATGATTATAGGAATAATAGTATTAATGATTATGATGATGATGATGCTGATGATGATGATAATAATGATAGTGCTAATAATAATAATGATAATACTGATGCTAATAATGATAATAACACATGATAATGTTAATAATAACAATAACAATATTAATATTAATTGTAATAATGATGACAGTGATAATATAATTAATAACAATTAATATCGTAATGATATTGAAATAATGAAATCGGAAGAAAAGCACGCGAAAGTACCTTTGTAATGAAAGAAGAAAGTTAATCACAAAAATGAACGAGTTTTTTTCTGTTGTGTCAAGTGGCAGGTCATATCTCGTAATACTAATATATTTAAATGAGTTCAAGTGTATAATGAGGTTGAATAATTTTGAATGCACATGGAATGGAAATGTATTTCAATGTGTCCGGGTTTTTTTTTCTTTCTTTCTTTCTTTCTTTTTTTTTTTACGATGACTGCTAGACGATATCCTGAGAAAGTGTTTTATTTTTTTATATCAATAGACGAAGAGTAAGGTTCAAAATATTTTAGAATTTAAAATATTCAATATAGCGATAGATTGTGACAGAATTTTAATGTTACATGTTTCTGTTGGCTTCTGTCTTATGGAAGTCCCGACCTTCTTTCATGGGGAGGGGGGGGGGGTCTGTAGAAAAGAGGGAGACACTTCATACGAAATATTCAAGATAGGAAACTTTGGGGAACAATTAAGAGATTGATTTCAAAAATTGTCGCAAATTAGAGAGATTTCATGAAACCTAAGAGTTATACCATGAAGTACACAACAGGTATCTACTATTCACTTCTCCAACATTATTATGGCTTCAAGAACCGCCACTTCACTCACATCTCAAGCTTCACTATCCCACTCCAAGCTCTTGCAAGCTCTCTCCGTCCATCTTAGAGATCACCCTCCAGCTTTAACCCCCGTCTTCCCCCTTCAGCTCCTCCCAGCCATGCTACTCTTCAACCCCATAAGCTACGCGACCCAAAACCTCCATTAGCTTAGACCCTTTCCGTTGTTTCCAGCCTGGTAGCCGGGTGTAGCAACAGCTGGCCACGGCCTGGGTACACAGCGTGGTGGTGGCGGAGGTGGTAGTGTGGTTGGCTTAGCGTGTGGTTAGAGACAGTATCCCTTGGAGGTTTCACGCCCACAACCCATGAGTGGACGCCCAAACCTCACTTGCCTTTGCTATCATGGCCACTTGTCGACGCAAGGTTGAGGTGAGTAGCGTTGCCACACGTGCTGTTCCGTCGCCTGTGGTGTTTACTGAAGTCTTATAATAATGCAGTTGTTTACGTTTTACAGCTGTTGGTTTGTTGTGGTTGTTTGTGTTAATGTGATTCCTTGCGTTTTTTTTCTTTTCTTTTTATATGGTGTTGTTACTGTAGCATTAGTAAATGTGGTAATGGTGATAATTATATATGATAAGTTAGTAATAAGGAGTATTGTAATTGTTGTTATTACTACCGCTGTTATTATTGTTATTATTATTATTATTATTAGTAGTAGTAGTAGTAGTAGTAGTATTATTATTATTATTATTATTATTATTATTATTATTATTATTATTATTGTTATTGCTGTTTGTTGTTGCTGTTGTGTTTTGTTATTATCCGTTTTATTATTATTATTATTATTATTATTGATATTGTTATGGTTATGGTATTATTACTACTGATGATAATGATAATAAAAGCATTATTATTGTCATCATTAGTTGTTCATTATTATTATCATTGTAGTTATTATCACCAGATTATGGTAGTAACAATAATCAATTGATTATATCATCAGTAACTTCACTTCTGCCACTACTATTCTTGTTACTCTTATTACCATTGCAAGTAGCAGTAGTAGTAATAGTTATTATGCTGATGGTGAGAGTGCTAATGTTAATAACAGTAATTAATAATAATCATTTTTATTACTATTCCTGTAATTGTTGGTTTTGTCAACTGTCATTATAATTTGTGTTCTTGAGGTTTCATTTATTATCATTATTACTGTTATCATGTTATAATTATGGTTATGATCATTATTTTTATTCCTTTAGTATCATTACCATTATTATTATTATTACTAGATCGAAGTACCTGCTTTCCAGAACGTAAATAATTGCGCCAAAAAACTACAAACATATTTTTTTATCAAGAAATGTATTTCTGGTATTATATCCTCGCAAACAAATTAATGTACCCTTTGTTTTACATCTCATCGAACAGACCTAACAAATTTCCAACACAGAAATAACAGCTAATTACAGTATTTTGGTCTAAAATGTTACATGAATAAGGAGGCAGATTTTGCTCCACACATTTTCTGCCACGCCCCTTCCTAATGTCATCTTCCCCGTGTCACTATTTATATCAAATTCAAGTCCTAGATCAAAGTTAAACCTCGGTAAACTAGGTTTTAGTTTTACTTAAATAAGAAGGCAGGTTTAGGCTCCTCCCACTCTCTGCCACGCCCATAAGTCTGATGTTACCCTGCTTATGTTATTCCTCATGTCAGCTTACCCCTGTAGTCCAGATTTTAGCTCCCCGGGGTCACAAGGGGACTGAATCCATAAGGACAGAAAGACATAACTTTATTTATTTGTTATTGTTGTTATTATTGTTGTTGTTGTGTTGATTATTTTATTGTTATTATTGTTGTTATTATCATTATTATTGTTGTTTTTGATATTGTTACTTTTGTTAATCAATTTGTGTTATAACTTTACTGTTGTTTTTATCATTGTTGTTTTTTTTATCATGTATTATTTTTTTTTCTCTGTTTTTGTAGTACTTTTGTCTTTATGTTACTCTCACACAATCACCATACATAAGAAATAAACAGAGGATAAGAGGCTAATTTTTCATTTACCGCAAATAGAAATACACAAGGTCAGCAGTCAAGATCCGTATTAAAGTGGCGCCCATGAAATAACGTATCAGCAACCTATAAGTTAAATACTTATGACAAATTCATATTAAATCATTGGGAAGAGTTGAACATAGTAGTGGATTTCAACTTTTTCTTGTGCATATTGTTGATAAATTATCGTACTGTCGACGGTGATATGATGACAATGATGAGCTGATAGTAATGGTAACTGACGATAATAATGATATAAGTAATGATAATTATAGTTATAATAATGACGATGGGAATAGTAATGATGACAATGACATAGAAAAATGATAACCATAATATTAGTAACATAATGTTCGTCCCCCTACTACCATCACTACTACTACTACACTACTACTACTACTACTACAATTACTACTACTACTACTACCACAATTACTACAACTACTACTACTACAATTACTACAATACTACTACTACTACTACTACTACTACTACAAATAATAATAACGATAACAACAACAAATACAGGCACAAAGTTAACCTACTACTACCCCTTACGTTCATTTGGTTATTACAGGTGCTGGTGGTTCTGTTGCTGACGTTAGTGCCTCGGCCTGGCCCCCTGGAACCCAGACCTCCCTGTATACGTGATAAGGCGGCTCTCGTGAGAAAATTGGTTAACAAGGTGAGACCAGTTTAACGTGTGTGTGTGGGGGGGGGGGGGGGGGGTGGGGGATGTGGATGGGTGTTTGTAGGAGTGGGTGGGTGGGTGGATGTGTGTGTGTGGGTGGGTGTGTGTGTGTGTGGCGAGTGGGTGGATGTGTGTGGGGGGATGGTTGGATGGGTGTATGTGTGTGGGTTGGTGTGTTTGTGTATGTGGGTGGGTGGGTGTTTGTAGTGGTGGGGTGGGGGGTAGGGTGTTGATTTTGGTGTGTGTGTGGGGGGGGTTGTCTGTTTGTGGGACTTTTTTGTTACTTTGTGTGTGTGGTTGATGTGTGTGTGTGTGTCTGTCTGTATATTATGTTTGTCTTGGTTTGTGTAGGACTAATTTCACCCAATAAATTCTACGGCAAGAAACGCCACACTTGATTTACGATATGAAACAAGTGCCCTTATTCCTCGGCCATTAATTGCGGTTCTCGACCATATTCATAGGTTTTGCAGATGGAAAAGACAGTGACAGCTATGTATAATATCCTTTGTTAAAAAGGAACTTTGAGGATTACAAAAAAAATAACTATTTTTGTTTTAATGAACGTGAACAAAATTAAATAGATTAAACGTTTCTGGCTGAAATGAGGTTCTGTACCATACCACAGGATGTCTACCTAGAAACTGATATTTTTCTTTCTGACCAAACATATATATATATATATATATATATATATATATATATATATATATATATATATATATTATATAGAGAGAGAGAGAGAGAGAGAGAGAGAGTTTTATGCAGATTTTATGCTGAGAATCTAGCAAATATCTATTAAGCAATTTACCCAAACCATATTTCGACGACCTAGCGCCCCAACAGCTAAGAAAGGAGCCATCGCTTTCATCCAACTGCAAAAAATAATAAAACAGAGAAACCTATGCCTCCCAAAGCACAGAGATGCATCTTCATCCCTTTTCCAGCGATGGATGCCTGTGCTGGAGAAATACGGGGTGACGCTGCCCCTGGAGTGCCCCTTGCACAACGCCAGGGATGTGTTCGCGCGGCAGGAGGAGGCCAAGGTCCACGTGCCGCCCCAGTGGACCTGCGGCTTCTGCGGGAAGGCCTTCTACCACGAGGCGCACCTGGACAGACACCTCGACAACCGCCACGAGGAACACCTCAATAACGTGGGTTTTAAGGAAACGATGATTTCTTTTCTTTTTTTCTTCATCTCCATCCTTCTTTTTTCTTGTTCTCTTTCGTATTTTTTTCACTTTTCTTCGTCTTCTACGGCTCCTTCTTTATTCATCTTCTTTTTCTGTTTACTCTTACCATGACCAGATTTACGTTATGCATTACAATATTTCTTGCTATCAACCCTCGTACGTTAAGATGTTGATGGAAGTAACTCTGGCTCTTCAGGGCGAGGACGCGGTGTGTCTAGCGGACTTCTGTGACGTCATGCGGTGCGAGGTGTTGCTGGAGCGTCTCAGGGACTTCGAGGACACGCCCCCCGCTGCCACGGCGCTCGACCTGTGGCACCAGCCGCTCCTGCTGTCTTCCCCGTCGCTCCACCAGGGCCAGACGCATTCAGGTGCGCCGCTCGTCACGCGATCTGCGAGACGCATGCGAATACATCTACATTTTGTTATTAGTATTATTGATATTATTGTCATCGCTGTTGTTTTTAAGTATCCTATTTCTGTTCGATTGTTGTTGTTTGGGTGCGAGGGGGTGGTTGACAACCTTTTCTGCCTCGTAGCTGTGAAGGCCCGTGTTCTAGACGTGCGGCTCCGCTTTCCCCCACAGACCAAGCGGTGGAGCGAGCCCTCCCCCGCAGCCTGATGAGGTCGTCCCACGCCTCCCACCCGTGGTACCAGTGGACGCGGCAGCCTCGGCTCCGGGACCCGCCTCACCCGCCCCCGCCGTCCTCCACGACGCCCCGCCCCGCCCCCGACCTCTCCGGGACCGCCCCGACGACGGCAGGAGGTCCGTGGACGACCCTGTGGTGGTGGCAGGATGCGATGCGGACGACGCGGAGTGCGCGAACCCGCCGGAGGAGACCTACAGTGAGTTCAGACTGTACTCCGCAGTGCCTTCATGTCTTGTGTTCTTTCTCCTAACTTTATGGTCACTTCACTAACATGACTAATTAACAATGAGAGTGCATGGTGAATATTTAACCCAACGAGCAAGGTCTTTCCGAACTGGGGTTTCCTTGTATCGAGAGAAGCCGTGTCTCTGGTGCGTGTTGCACAGACGTGACGGATGTATAACGCCCACAGATGACAGCGGGCAGGTGGGCGGGGGCCCGCGGGAGCTGCCTCTCCACCCGTTACACTCGTGGCGTGACACGTGTAATGAGGAACACCTGGCTGAGCTCAGAGTCAAGTGCCAGGTGGGTCGACGCTGCCTCGCTCATCTCTTTTGAGGCTTTCGTGTTTCTCACTTTTTTTCTTTTTTGTTTTTCTTTGGTGTCTCTCTCTCTCTCTCTCTCTCTCTCTCTCTCTCTCTCTCTCTCTCTCTCTCTCTCTCTCTCTCTCTCTCTCTCTCTCTCTCTCTCTCTCTCTCTCTCTCTTTCTCTCTCTCTCTCTCTTCTCTCTCTCTCTCTCTCTCTCTCTCTCTCTCTCTCTCTCTCTCTCTCTCTCTCTCTCCTCTCTCTCTCTCTCTCTCTCTCTCTCTAGACTCGCCATGGCTGTTAGACTAGCTTTTGATTTAACCAAATTGCATCCATTATGAATGTAGTCTTTAGAGATAACCAAGTGTTTACGTTTACTAATGCTGCTCTGTTTTTTAGCAATTGATCCAGCAGTGCATCGGGGGTCTGCTGCTCAACCTAACACTGGAGCAATTCAAGGAGGTTGAGGGTGAGTTGTAACAACCGAACAGACTTTCATATTCTGTTGTTGATGAGTTATTGTATGAAACTGGTCTTTATTTTTATTGGCTATACTTTACATGTAGAAGGAGTATGACTGAGAATGTACATCACAATGCAAGAGATGTTTTTGACCGGTTTCGTATACATCTTCGTCAAAAATGTCATGTATTCGAAACCGGCTGAATACATTTCTTGTATTGTGTAGATGTTCATTCTCATTCGTACATTTTATACGTCTGTCAACATGAATTGCTATACTTTCACGTTTTTCGTGAAGTTCGATTTCCGATAACTCATCCCCCCCCCCCCCGTCAACAGCCGCTCTAAGCCGTGCGGTGTGTTGGTACCTAACGTGTGAGAGGTACTGGGAAGCCGGTACCATGGAGCCTCCGGAGTTCCCTTGGGGCCTCGTCACTGGCCTGGTACTTCTGCTGACTCTCGGGGTGTCCTTGGCTTACTACATCGTCTGGGTTCTGTGCGAGTGAGTAGGACCTGCTGATTCCTCGCCAGTTGTGTGTTTGTTCTGTCGTCATACCGTTGTTGAATATCTCGTGTCATATCAAGGCAGAGTAATATTGTTTATTGATTTTTTTCTTTTTTGTGCATAGCTAAAAGACCCTTCATAACTGCTCGTTTTTTCCCACCTCATGTTGTACTTTTTTCATTTTGCTCGCAGCAGTTTAGCAAACACGTTTTTCTCTTTTTATTATCTCCTTCTGTAGAGACACATGAAGTGTAGCGTGCCTCCCACCCCCAGGTCGCAGGAGGGCGCCGCGGCGTCGCCCAGCACCCTGCCGGAGGAGCGCCCCGGCCCGCCGCTCCGGGCCTCGAAGGCGCGCCACTCCGCCGCCACGGAGTCCGAGAGCGAGTGCCGGGACTCGGGCTTCAACGAGGGCCCTCTCTACCCCGACGTCAGCGACGCCAGCCACGCCTACAGCGACTACGACGGCCAGTCCTACCGCTCGCGACACTACTCGGAGGACTCGAGGCTCTCCTACGCGCCCGACGACCACGCCCACGCCCACCCGTCGTCCAAATACTACATCACGGAGGAGCGCATGTTCAACTACGCCACCACCTTCACCCCCAACTACGAGCAGCGGCGGCTCAGAAGGAATCGCTACAACTACCTCGACGACTACGACGACTACCAGGACCTGGGCGAGCACGACAAATACTACGACACCTCGAGTTTAAGTCAGGAGCAGAGCGACAGTTTCATTTACGTCTCCTACCCGCCTGAAGTTAAGAAAAGATTCACGGAGAACAGGTGATGACGAGACGGGGTGGCTTATCGTCGATGAATATAAAAAACAGGAAAAAAATAACAAAAAAATATATTGGGGGGAGTTGATAAACTTTTAGGCTTGTATCTTCCATGAAGTTTATATAGAGTGATAGAAAATATATCCGTTAGTTGGTCGGTGTAAAAGTGGGCAAGAAGCGCGAGCGAGGCAGATAGTCTGGTTTGCGCCCAAGGAATAAAGCCGCAGTTATTGTCTGAAGTACTGTCGCATGACCGCAATGAGGTATGAGTTGTTTATGAGGTCATAAGGATCATGAGACACCTCGCCTGTTTCTAGCCATAGAGACTGGAGCTTGTGATTGCACAGTACATTCTCATGTCTTTCTTGGTTCACAGTTATTGCAAGCACGCTGTGTTTGAAGAACTCCTCATGGCAGGAACAATGGCAAGCGTTAGTGAGAATTCTGAGTTTGTGATGAGGAGATAAATCGTAACTGAAAGACTAAATACCATAAAGACTGTAACGATATTGTAGATGAGATAGATAACTTGCCGTGATCGAGAAGAAATAACAAGTGTTCCAAACAGACAATAAAACGGAAGCGATAGTGAGTATACATGAGCATACATATATATGTTATTGACCCTTTTGTGGGTATATATATGTATACATAATGAGTCTCACCAATTTCCCTTTTTTGTAAAATCTAGTTCGTTCAAGTAGTGATTTTGTGAGTGAGGGAGAACGCGGTAGAAGTACAGGAAAAATTATATTACAATGGACCAAATATAACTGTTTCATGTTAGACGATGAAAATAAGCATTGCTTACTAAGGCCTCTAGGGGCTAGGTGCTCCCCCTTCCCTGACCAAGACTCGGTAGGACTCTTAGACATTCCTTGAGCCGTAGGGCCTCGTAGCGCCCGTGGGTGCAGCAGCAGTCCCAGGGGCGGACCGTGCAGCCACTGCAACGCGCCGTAAGAGAGCTTTTGTCCCAACAGTGCTGTCTTCAGATAGTCTCGCCCGTAGCATTGTGGTGATTACGAGCCCTCCCCCCCCTCTCCCCTCTGCCTCCCCGGCCGCCGCTGCAGAGGGCTCGGAGAGGTTCTTCGCTGGGGGCGCCCCTTCTGGTCGCGGGCGAGGAGGTGTGCTTAGATCATATTTTTATATTTGGAAAGTACTCCCACTGCATTGACTGTTTGTTGTCCGAGTACAAAGTATAGAGAACTCGTGTTTATGATTAATGTTTATAAGGTGGACGGTCGGGAAAGACACATGAATCTCGGTAAGATATTGAGGGAGCTGGTCACGTGATATGGATAGCAGGACTAGCTTCAACCTCGTGTGTTTAGGGACGGACGTCGCCGTTTGTTCCGGGAGATTAAGAGGGAAAAAACTGCCTCATACACATTGCAGTGAAGAAAAATAATTTCTTCGTAGCCTAGTATTTTTTCACGTTGTTTATAGACGTATATACATATATATAAATATATTTTACAAGTGGGCCTACTTTAAGAACTTGCTGGTTCATCCTCGTTGTGACACCGGCGTGATCGTCTCCTGCTGGAAGTTTGTTGCTCATTTCAACCGAGGCCAAAGAACCGTGAGTTCGCATGCTGTTTCTTTCCCGCGGACGTCGTTAGTTGGGAATGTTGTTGCCTGGCGTCTTGCCTTGGGTTCGAACACCACAGTCGGTTTGCGGTTCACTTGTTCGAGACACTGATTCGAATGTGGTTTTCTTGTCGCCAGATGGATCACGAGATGTCACGTAGGTGGGGGACGAAGTGATTTGCATAGGGCTATTTTCATAACCTGTTGAAGAGGAAGAAGAAATGTTGTTCTTACAATCTACTGTTTTTTCCACATTTAATGTTTCGCCCGTTAGGTGCGGGATCTTAAGGCCCTATCACATGAGCACTTTGTCCGTTAATTTCTGGGGTTCCGTCTGAATTTGAGGCTTTCCGCAAGGATCGTCTACAAACGGAACGCCTCCCAGACTAAAACGGTTACGACCGTTTCCGTCTGACTAATTTCCGTGCTGATCTTGTGCTATTAATAAATTAGATAGGATGAGTGAATGTAAACATAAGCTAATATTTTAGAACATTCGTATATACAATATACATCATATTTCTTTAAAATAACGTAATGTGTATGAGAATGTTCGTGTGATTCCCGGGACCTCACTCCGACAGCGCCATGTTTGTTTACATGATTTTCATACGGAAACGCAAAAAATTGACGGTAAAAGTGCTAGTGTGATGGGGCGTTTACTTTTTCTGCGGTCCGTCCTCCTTCCCTGTAGGCCCAGGATCTGCCCGTCTTCTAGACTTTGTGTACATAGACTGAGAGTAGGACGGCGGGATCTGTAGTCACATTCAGTAGAGTTAACAGAAACCAAAGGCTTTTGGGGTACCGTGCTTGTAAACACTTTGTAGCTTTGCTTGTCTTCCGTCGTGTCAGAGGGGTGGTCAGAATGGAAGAATACATTTTTATTTATCTGTTTATCTACTATTGTTAGATAATGGATTCGAGAGGAAAGACACAACCCGTGACCAAAGTAGTTTATATCTTATCAATTGGATGTATGCATCAAGTTTTGATATCCCTGAATTATGACCATATTTATCCTTACCGGAAGATACTAGACAATATCGGAATTGTCCCTTGAGTCAATTTAAAAGAATATACGCTCATGCATCCATGATAGAGCAACGAAAAAAATATATCCGGCGGAAACACGATTGCAAAGAAAAAAGTCGAGGCGGACGCGACCTCCTCGTGGCACCTCGGGGGACAAGCGAGAGAGAACATTCGCGCAGTAGCTGTGTCGCCGCCGAAGAAACTGTGTAGTTGCAGGATAATTACTTTTAGATTTTGGGCGGCATTTTCACATGGTAGCTATTTAATCCAAAAAAAAAAAAAAGATCATTACGATGAACCATGGACGTTGAAATTTCGTATTCATCCATTCCAGAAATTCTCGAAATACTTTTTTCATTATTATTTTTTCTTTTTCTTAAATAAATAAATACCGAACGCGTTGCGGAGTGAATACTCGTACGAAACCCAGATAAAACAAACAAATGATCTCAGCAATAAGTAAGTTATGGTTGTATGATGGCTGTGACAAGAAGGACTTTTGGGAACAGTTAAGTCGACAAAAGGTGCGACGAGTAGGACTTTGTGGTGTTAACGTAGGAGACAGTGAGTCGTAGAAACAGTAATATCGACACCTATTATCAGACTTAAGAGATTTGCAGTTGCTTTCAGTTTGTGGTTTGGTTCCAGGAGAGATTGGTGTAGGTATAAGGATAGTGTTATAAAAGTAGATGAGATTAAGGAAGATGAAGTTGATGCTGATAAGCGCACATCATGAGCATGTTGTTTTGAAGTACATCACAAGATTTTGCCAAGGAAAGGAGATATTAAGATATATTAAGTTTGAAGTATAAAATGAGGGAGACATATTTGCGAAAACTGGTACCATACAGAGTTTTTATATGACACAAAAGGAAGTTGCGATTGATGGTACACGGTTTTGAAAACTGGTGAGGAATTAAGTATAAATGAGAATGAGAAGACATATTAAATGGAAAGATGAAAGTAGGGAGACCTCTCTATCTTCAGGGCCTTTCTTTTGAACACTTCACTACCCTCTGTTCCCGTATCTCCTCTCCCCTACCACGTTTAGCCTCATTAAAGAAACAGATGTAAGGGTTATGTGTGTGAAATAAAAAAAAAGTAAATACTTCCTCGTGATGAACTATGTATATAATGATAAGCTTGTAACTGCCACCTGGCAACTGATCATCAACGGTTGCCGGATATCATATTGTTTTCAAAGTCGATGTCATTCTTCTCTTTTTATCGAAAACCCCTTTTTTAAGTATATGTTTATAGCACAAAAGTGGAGTGCACGCTACTGCCTTTTTGTACATACACACACAAGCACCACTACACATAAGCTGTCACACAAACATTACAATGTCATTCTTTCCCTCGACACTCTCTTTTCCTTACCTTACATTGCGCACATCTTCATTGCCACGTTTTGGACAATATATCATCTCTGCAATTGCTAGATTGACACAGGTTTGTGATCATCATCATTATAATTATGGACGTTGTATTGGTATATTATATATTTTTGATGGTTTGAAGGTATGGCTATAATTGATATTATTGTTACTATGTATGTTTTTTTTTCATTTGGAAAGCCAGGTTAGACTAGTGTTCCAATAATAAAACACAGTGGAGAGATCTCTGTGCTTTTTTGAAGACTGGCAAATTCGTTGTGAAATCTCTTATATATGATGACATCGAAATCTCATTTGAGAATGATGTTAATCACTGACATTAAATGGTATCATTTCATTGGATGAATAAAACGCACAATTGATTAACTATTAATGAGAGATTTTATTGCGTGCACGAAGAGGGGTTGAATGAATGTACCTGTTTCATGTTTAATCATATATTTAAGTTTCATTTGCCCTTTTTATTTATTTATTGTTTTATTGGAAAACAATGTGACACGGGGAGCCGAATGGAGTATATATGTTGAAGTTTACATGCACTGCAAACATGTCATGAAATACAGGCTTTCAGACCCATGTGAGAAGAAAGGGGAAAGGAAGGGATGAAGTTGAAAGAAGCAGTTTAAAACCATAGCAGATTTGACCTGTCACTGCGGCCATGTTGAATTTTCCTGTTAATCACACAACTTGGTATTAATTTTATACCTCATTTCGGATAGTTGTTTAAGCGCAATGTGAAATTATCGTTTTTTGTTTGTTTGCGACGAAAGACACTAAATGCGAGAATGGTCGTTGTGTATGTAAATAGGAGAATGACCCACGCACTGACATCATTGTATTTGTGATTCTTCTGTGCTTTAAATTTTATCAATTTATTATTTTTATACGAATTATACAAAGTGTGACCTAGTCGTCATTGGTGTAAATGTGTTCTTTGATGTGGCGAACTCAAAGATAGATGTAATGATAAAGATAATTTGCCCCGTGATATATTTATTGGACATAGCTCGTAACTTCCTTTGCGAAAATATGCTTTCGTCGTGACTTTTTTCTCCCTTTGATAACAGCCAATAAACATTTTGAGAAGAAAAAAAATGCCGCCAAATTTTGGTTTCATGTCAACCATCATGATCAGGTAATAATCAAAATATTTGCCGAAGAATCGCTACCTCACAAAAATGACGTCACTATTAACATTCGTTATGTCGAGAGAAAAAAAAAACTTACTGGTTTGCGTGGAATTTCATTCATATATTTTCGTGTTGCTTACAGCTGTAGATTATGAAAATATGTCAAAATCCACATATTGTGTGTGTGTGAGTGAGTGAGTGAGAGAGAGAGAGAAAGCGAATAGATGTTTACATGCCAAGAAACACAAATTACGTATTCTTTTCGATATGCTGTGAGAATTTTCGGCTTCTTATATATGTAATCCATTGGGGCTCGAATGCACAGACGCCTCATGACCGAAAGACCATAAAAAAAAAAAACACTGACCGTCGAAAATTAAATTACTCGATGATATTAAATTAAAACAATGATTGTAAATTATGAATTGATAATATAAAACATATTTGATGTTTCTGTAATAGCGGACATTTTAAGGGAATGACAGATAGAGCTGTTAGAAAATTGACAACGATAAGGATAATGAGTATAAAACATCCTGCAGACCGTAGATTTACACTCAGAAAATAACACGATCTAAATTTCTAATATATAATTTAGCAAGTCACTGTGGTAGATCATATCAACATAGACATATTTCTATACATTTGGAAGCCCATACATAGAACTATTATGAAAAGCGTTTTGCCGCTACAATTATTTACATACGTTAAAGTGTTGCAGGAAAATTGTTATCGACATATAAAGTCTTACAAATTATCACTAAACGATTTCTATTTAATATCTCAAATCTGGTTATCAGGTTTTATCAAATATTTCACTTTGGTAGACAGAAACAAAGCTGTATTTATCCGTTATATGTAAAGAAAACTTCTATACTTTTTCTCCATATATAAAAAAAAAAATGTAGTTTCAGGTGTAACGAAGACTGATCGGTTAGTAATCAAATTTACATAAATTATAGAATAGGAAACATACATTGAGTGAAAATAAAGAGTTTTCCCGAGACCTGAACAAACATATATACTGATGTTCATAACTACATGTGCGTATCAATGATTGTTAATACTGGAAATACTCACGGAATACTCAGAATAGTGAGATATCGCTCTCACTCTCTTTCTATCTCTCTCTCTCTCTCTCTCTCTCTCTTCCTCTTCTCTCTCTCTCTCTCTCTCTCTCTCTCTCTCTCTCTCTCTCTCTCTCTCTCTCTCTCTCTCTCTCTCTCTCTCTCTCTCTCTCTCTCTCTCTCTCTCTCTCTCTCTCTCTCTCTTTTTCTTCGTCAGTGTGAATTGCATACAATTCTGGTATATAAAAAAAAAATTACCTACAAAAATCCTTCGATGGTCTGTTTCATTATAAACTGAATACCACGAAACCTGCATAGGATTGAATCAATTTATAAAAGGGTACTGGCAAGATTTTTTTTTCGCTTTTACATCTTTACCACGTATTATAATGTTAATTAATTGAAAGGTAATGTTAATGGATACTGATGAATGATTTTTTTTTTTTTTTTTTTTTGAAAGGAATAGTTTTTATTCTTCGAAAAACAAGAACAGGATAAAGCTTAGTAATCTTTACATAAAGGAGCATAAACTGAAGATGTTTGTTCATTGTTCGTGTCAGAAAGGTTGTAAATGTAGGAAAATATCGATAGATGCTACTTAAAAGAAATAGGAGACGAAGGAATGTTTCCGGAGAATAGGCCTACATTTAGGCTGTGGTATGAAGCAGGAAAGGTTTCATAATGAGGAACTTCTGGTTATGATAAATAAGCATACAAGTGTTGTATCATTACTGTCGATTTTTTAAATGTATTAGTGAATTTACATACATCTGTCTACAGTGTTCAAGAATACGATTATTTTCGGTCATGCAATTTTTTTTTTTTTTTTCGAAAAATCGTTGTTCAGATGACCGAAATGTCTGATATGTCCAAGGGAGAATTCTGAAAAAAAGAAAAAAAAACAATGGTCACTGAACTAAAAAGAAAAATAATAGAATGAAAATGAAATATAAGAACGGATATGCGAGTGATCCAAACATTTTTTTCCCAAAACCAGTTTATGAATATTTCCTTCGGGAAGGTTTTTTCCCCAATTACACTCCATTTAACCTTTGTTTGATGTCAGGTTATATATCATAAATTGTACAATGATACCAGTTACTAATAAAGGGAAGGCGAGTTCGCTGAGATGTCTTGTTTGCAATTTTTCTCTTCGATTCCTAAAGAAAAAAACGAAAAAAAAACACGAATGTCGAAGAAGTATTTGAATAAACAAAAATAATTATACATAATGTGCACACACACATAAACAGACACACACACACAAACACACACACACACATAAACACAAACGACACACACACACACACACACACACACACACACTACATAACACACACACCCACACACCACACACAAACACACACACACTCAAAAACAAACACACACACAAACACACACACACTCAAAACATACAACACACACAACACACACACTACATACAACACACACACACACACACACACAACATACACACACACACACTCAAAAACATACAAAACACACACAAACAAACACACACACCCACACACTCATACACACCCACCCACACACAAACTCACTCACCTACAGCTATGTAGTCAACCCACGCATGATCCCCCCGTAGACCCCCAGGAGCACCTCAGGGTCGTATTCACACAGGGTGTAGTGGGCGCAGTCCTGGCTCGTCGAACCGCGCCACACCGCTTCGTCATAGTCACCATACACTGTACCGTTGCTGGGGCCTTCTCCTCTGGGGTGTGGTGGTGGGTGCGAGTGGCGCAAGTTAGGTTAGCGTTTAAGGATAAATAATGTTTATTTTGTTGTGACAAGTTAGATTCTTTTTGGACAAGTTAGTTTAGTGTTTAATGATAAGTAATGATTGATGTGACACAAGTGAGTGTTTTTGTTTTGTCTTGTTTATTTTTTTTGTGTGTGACGTTAGTTTAGTGTTTACTGATAAGTAATGATTGATGTGACACAAGTGAGTTTTGTTTTGTTTTGTTTATTTTTTTGTGACAAGTTAATTTAGTGTTTACTGATAAGTAATGATTGATGTGACACGAGTTATTTCAGTTGTTTTTTTGACGTTAGTTTAGTGTTTCTGTTTTTTTTCATTGTTTGTTTCGTTCTTCCTTTCTTTGGTGTTGTTTTTGTCAGTTGCTGTTAATGTTATTTGTTTGACTTTTGTTGTCGTTAATAAATATATAAATAAATAATAATAATAAATAAACAATTACATACTCATACACTCACAAACAAAACTTTCCTCCTCAAAAAAAAAGAAAAAAAAAGAAAAAAAAAAAAAACGAAAAAAATATATCGACTTACGAAAAGGGCCTCAGAAGCGCCTGCAGTAAGGGCGACGACCCCTTCCACTCTGGACTCGAGGCCACGCAAAGGAGTTTTCGTCCACAGTGTTTGGTGTCGACTTTCGCTGTCTGTTAGGAAGAGAGACGTCTGTCTGAGCCAGCAGTGATAGTAGTGGTAGTAATTGTTGTTGTAGTAATGGTAGTAGTAAGAATGGTGGTGGTATATATATGTAAGTTTATATATTTAAGTGTATATATACATATGTATATATATATATTATATATATATATATATATGTATGTATGTATGTATGTATATATATGTATGCATATATGTACATGTTGTCTGTTTTATTTTTGCTTTTAAATCTCCCTCTGTGTGATAGGAATGGCCGGGGTTACCATCACTGGCAGCGCGTGGGATCGAACACAGGTCAGCAAGACTGCTAAACGAGAACGCTAACCGTTGCAGAGAGAGAGAGAGAGAGAGAGAGAGAGAGAGAGAGAGAGAGAGAGAGAGAGAGAGAGAGAGAGAGAGAGAGAGAGAGAGAGAGAGAGAGAGAGAGAGAGAGAGAGAGAGAGAGAGAGAGAGAGAGAGAGAGAGAGAAGAGAGAGAGAGAAAGAGAAGAGAGAAAGAGAAAGAAAAAGAGAAAGAGAAAGAGAAAGAGAAACAGTGACAGAGAGCCAAGAGAGACCAAACTTCATCCAATTTTCAAAAAAATCGTCTCACCTCATCAAGAATTTCTCGAAATCGGGAGCCTCCAAGCCCTCCAGACTCCTCCGGCCTCTGTAGTAGTACCGCCCTCTGCCTCTGTACCTCTGGCCTCGTCCTCGGTTCCGGCCAATGAAGTATCCCTGGATTGGCGAAGAAGAATCTTTTCACACCTTTTTTTTTCTTGAGATTGTGTAAATAGAAGTTATATTTTTGTAAACGGGAGAGAGGGAGGGAGGAGGGAGGAGGAGGGAGGGAGGAGGGAGGGAGGGAGAGGAGGAGGGAGGAGGAGGGAGGAGGAAGAAGAGAGAGAAGGAGAGAGAGAGAGAGAGAGAGAGAGAGAGAGAGAGAGAGAGAGAGAGAGAGAGAGAAGAGAGAGAGAGAGAGAGAGAGAGAGAGAGCGAGAGAAGAGAGAGAGAGAGAAAGAGCGAGAGCGAGAGAGCGTGTGTGTGTGCGTGTTTGTGTAACACATAACAATAACTATAAAATGCATAACATGCTAAACATATACCAATGGCAGAAATAAAAACAAACAAACAAACACACTAAACAGAGGCCTGACACGAAAGCTGAAATTGAAGGTCGTTTCTCCATTCAAGTAAAATCCATTCAGTCGCGGAAGTCAAGGTCAAAGGCAGAACACATGACGTCGAAAGGGAATGACAAGCTGAATACCGCACCGCCACATAAAATAAAAAATAAATAGAAACGAATCAGAAATGTCAAAATTGTATATTAATTCAATGCACGTCAACTACATTTTATCTTGTGGCCGATAAAGTGACTCATCCCAAAATCTGACGAGGAAAAAGAAGAAAAAAAAAGAAAATAAAAAGTAAAAGTTACAATATTGTAAAGAAACTCGAATCAGAAATTTCAAAACAAAAAAATCTAACAATGCATAAGTCAACTCCATTTTATCTCGTGACTGAAAAAGTAACTCATCCCAAAATCTGACGAGGAAAAAGTAAAAAATAAATAAACAAAAAAATAGTAAAAAAGAAGAGTTACAATTTTGTAGGCCTACCGTCGCCAAGGCCCCAGCGGACCCAAGGAGGCCAAAACCAGCGAGAGTGGCCAGGGTGTTGGTCGAGCTGATAACCAAATTCTGGCAGCTCGTGTCCTGAACGCTGAAGGCCAACGCCACAACGCAGACCCAGAGGAGCAGCCTTGGCCATGACACTTTCATCTCGTCTGTGAAAAAAAGGTGAAATGGGAGTTACTCTTCACTGATAGGCCTATTGGTTTCAGGTAAGGAGTCTGTACTCTATTCTTTCTTGAACTGATAAGGATACGGTACTTTTATGAATGGATATACTATCGGAATGATGGGTATGTGGACTATGTTATAATCCGTTCGAAATTTTTATACCAAGATTCTATTTGAGGCCAAAGAAGGAAGTTAGTCAGTATTGTCATCATTATCATTAATATTATCGTTATCATTATCATTACCATTACTATTCATTAATATCGTTCGGGTGAAAGATGTAACCCTCTGTCCATGTATAGACCCTACCTTGTATCGTCTTACCGACATTTTAAGTTAATCAAATCGTGTGTTGAACAATCGCAAAAACTGAAAGGTGGTATCCAGTTTAATTGAAATACTGATGTTCGATTGGGTAAACTACTTTATTTTAG